ATATATATATATATGGCTGGGAAGGTGGTTCAGTGGTTGCCTTGCATGCATGAGGCCCTGGGTTTGATTCCCTAGCACCACAAAAAGCCAGGAGTGACACTGTGGCTCAAGTGATAGAACACTAGCCTTGAGCAGAGAAGCTCAGAGACCATGCCCAGGCCCTGAGTTCAAGCCCCAGACTGGCAAAAAAAAAAAAAAAGAAAGAAAGAAAAAAGAGAGAGAGAGAGAGTGTGTGTGTGGGCTTTGAGTCAGAGGATTTCAATCCTGAAATGACTTAATTCTTCTAAATCCCGAGATTCCTTTTCTCTTTAAAATGTGGTGAGATTTCAGTGTGACTGTGTAAAATGCATAGCACAGTTCTGCATGTAAGTGTCCAGAGGTGCTAGTGGTTTCTTCCTTGAAAAGAAAATCAGCTGCTATGCTTTATATGTGATGTGAAAGCACTAGTAGTGTTTTAACATGAACACTAAGTCATTTTGATCAATCAGTGGGTTGTCAGATGACATTAGGAATATGTACTGATTAAGCTCAAACCCTGGCTACCCACTTGTGACCAGCACATGGTATTAGCATCCCTCTGAAAGGTGGCTGTCAGTGGAGTGAATAGAGAGATCTAGGAGCTATAGAAGAGCTGCTGCTGAGATGGCTGGGATGGCACAAGCCTTTAATCCCAGCATTTGGGAGGCTGAGGCCAGACAAGGCGAAATAGCAAGATGTTTGTATTGAGAAGGAAATAGAAGAAGAGATAGGAAGAGGAGGAGGAGGAGCAGCAGCAGCAGCAGCAGCTGAGGGAGGAGAGGGGAACTTCTAGACATCTTTTTGTGATATCCATATGCCTAAAATAGACCTCTGTTCATTCACTAAACTTCACAGAGCATTTACTTAAGAGTTAGGCACTATACTGTGCAGTTGGGACCTATGCAGATATGTATTTCCAGAGTCTAATGGAGGGAAAGAGACTGGTGAGTGGACTAAGGATCCACAGGTACTCTGCTAGAGCTACCACAGGGAATAGTTAAGGTGGAGAAGTGATCATATTTATGACAATCAAGAAGGCCTTTGCAGAGAACGTGTCGAGTCAGTCATCTGGCTATAACATTAAATTGATAATGGCTTTATCATAAAGCAACGCAAGGATATATTTTTTTGTGTTTGTGTGTGGTGCAGTTTATTTCTACACTGAGTGTTCTTTTTTTTCTTTTTCTTTTGTCAGTCCTGGGGCTTGAAAACTCTGGGCCTGGGCACTGTTCCTGAGCTCTTCAGCTCAAGGCTAGTGTTCTACCACTTTGAGCCACAGCACCACTTCTGGTTTTCTGTTGGTTTCTTGGAGATAAGAATCTCACAGACTTTACTGACTGGGCTGGCTTTGAACCATGATCCTCTCAGGTCTCAGCCTCCTGAGTAGCTAGGATTACAGGCATGAGCCACAGGTGCATGGCTGCACAGAGTGTTCTTATGAAACACTACTCAGTGTTTTTCTTGAATTGCTCAGCAATAGTTGAAGGTCCCAAAGAGGTGGCAGAACCTCACATCAGATAGGTTTTGCAATTCTTTGTAGGTTCCTTTATGTACCTGAACTATTTCCTGAATCAAATGGTGCATCTGGAGCATCCTGAAAGAACCAGAAGTATTCTTGGCTGCCTGTCTAGAAAGAATCCTGTCTCTCTTGATGGAAGTTTTCTGTATCCAACCTGAAGCTTTTCTTTTCCTTCTTTTTTCGTAGAGGTTCTGGGGCCTGAACTCGGGACCTGGGTGTCATCCTTGAGCTTCTGTTCATGCAAGACTAGCACTGTACCATTTGAACAGAGCTTTTTGGTAGTTAGTTAGAGGTAAGAGTCTTATGAGCTTTCCTGCCTTGACTGGCTTTAAACCACCATCCTCAAATCTTAGCTTCCTGAATAGTAGCTTATGGGTATAAGTCACTGGCGCCTGGAAGAATTGGAGATTTTTGCCTTGTGGTCTCAGCTACCCAGGATACAGACCTTATTAGGTTCCTTTCTCTCAAGAGATATGGAAAATACATTCCCTTTTCCTCTCCATTGGGTGTAGAGCAGCACTTCAGGAAAGTAGGCAGGATCTAAACTAGAAACTGGCTAATGAGGTAAAAATCAGGTCAGAATGAGATACCAGATATAAATCAACTTTAAAGAGTCCAAACCACAAACATTACTGCTGTGGCTGTGAGGTTAGTTTTGGTAGTTCATAATAAAATGACCTCTCATCCCAGGGAAGAGATAAAGATGCCTCACAAACCATGAACTAGTTTATCTCTGATACTGTTGGGCTCTCTTATAGTCATTCTGTGAGGTCTGTGCTGCTTAAAATAGAATCGCTGACAGCTGGGGTGGGTCTGAGTTCATGACTACTACCAGTGAACTGTTGCAGCTGTGTGTCAGCAGGGCCGAGGTTAGCTGACTCATCCTGTCAGCTTGGACAGGAGCCGGGAGAGTTCCTGCTTGTTTGGGAGGATCATCCTGATTGTTCTGCTGTATTGTTTTCCTGATTCAAGTAAAATGAAAGGATTGTAGGATTAGGGAGAGATAAATAGAGTTTTCCATGAAGAGCCTGATTAGGAGTTTGAAGGAGGTGATCGTCAGATTGCACTTGTTGACTTT